GTTCCTTTCATATCTCCAATTTTCTTGTAGAGATCTCTAGTCTTCCCCATTCTATTGTTTTCCTCGATTTCTTTGCATTACAAATTACCTATTTACCTATATAATCATGACATTTGTGCAATTACATCATTGAGTTTGTGTTGTCAAATTGGTGTCACTGTGATTTGTTGCAGATGCACCTGTCCTCAACTCTTTAAACCATGGTCTGCACTACAAAACTGGAATAATACTTTCTTCCTGTAATAAACTCTGAGAAATTGCTCCAGGCTGCTTTTCACTGCATTATTAAGTGGCATTGAAGTACCTGACATAAGCTTATCAACCTAGAAGTATATTTTGAAGTTAATCATATGATGATATCTACTATATTACATTCCTACATGTATAGGAATCTAAATTCCTTCTCAGGAATTTAGAAAATGCTGTCCTGAATGTACGTAAGTGGCAAAAATAAATACTTACCTGGAATGCGGACTTTAAATTTTCCACTCTGTCCAAAGCCACCTTCTATTATACCTTCCTCTCCTGTAGATAGCTTGACCTTCAACCCCACAAACATCTGGATGTTTGTTTCTTTTTTAAATAATGAACGACCAATCACACTGTAATCATCACACAGCTGCAAATTAAACAAATAAGTTAATAAGTTATCATTTTGTATACATATACATATATTATTATTTCTATATTGCATTCCTATGCCATCAGTAGTATTTCTATAACAGCTTAAGTGACCTGGGCTGAAGTCATTTTTGATTTTAGTTACATATCAGCAGCCAATGTAATGATTGCAATGCAGATGTAAAATCATCTCTCCACATTATTCCAGTATCATCAACCAGACTGTTGAACTCATTAAACTTTTCTAAACTATATATAAAAACAGTCCAACATTTAGTACATTACAGTAACTATCCTAAAGATTATGTACCATTATTTTAGGACCAGTTTCTTTTAGAAACCAGTGCATCCGATATATCAGCTGAAGGTGATAAAAAGCATCCCTAACCACTGTTTTAATCTGAGATATGGAGCAAGTCTTGAATACAGAAACAGTTCAAAACTGCACAATTTTTCTATCTGTGGGAAAGTAACTCCATCTAGAGCAAAAGATCTATCATGTCTCTAAAATTATTACCCTCTACACTCAGCAAGCACTTCAATCTTGTTTAGATTCCATTTTGGTTTATTAACCATCATTCAGCCCATTATCACTTTCAGGTACGCATTGTGGAGAACTATTTTGGGTATCATCAGTATATTGATATCACACAGCACCAAACTCCCAATATGGGAATTTTTTTTTTAAGATGTTAAATAGCAAAGGAGACAGGATGAAATCATCACATACAGCATAAAGAGTTCCTGCTTTGAACAGTATCTACAAGGACACCATCCTCAGACAAGACAGAAGATACTATGGTTCACAGTACTAAAAATCACCATAGTCCAAAAGAATCAATAGTTAACACTAACAGTTCCTAGGTGAACATTATTTACTGAGCTTACCAAAAGATTCTCAAACTGAAAACAAAGAATCCAGATAATGACCTTCTTTCAGGGACTGTGAATTGGAAAAGCCACAATTTTCTAAACCACCTTGTTTAATCACGGAAAATTAAATGTCACTGTAACATTGCCCATCTGAGAGACATAACACATGCTAAAAGGCGTAATAATCGCCTCTTTCAATTAGGCTTTTATGATAACATTAAAACTTCAGTCAGGTTCAACTTATGATGACTAAATTCATATGGCCATATAATTTTCTGGGAAGCCATATGGAACTGATATGACATTATCTTCTTCCAGGCTTTTTTTGTTTTTTTGTTTTTTTACTTCCCAGTCTTGCCTACAGCTCTGGGATGTCCTGGTGGTTTTCCATCCAAGTACTAGCTAACTAGGCTCAATCCTCCTTAGTTTTTTTGGGATCAGCAACAGCATAGCAGCAGTGTCCACAAGAGCGGGGGTATGGACTCAGGACAGAATGATAAAAATGGTGTTCCAATGCAGGCACCTTCTCTTTGGTTAACTGCATTGTGATGTTGCATGCATATATGAAAGGGGTAGGGCTTGTGGTACAATGCTGCTTTTGTCATTCTGATGAAAACAGCGAACCTTTGCAGACATCCACGGGGATTGGTCAAAGTCAGCTAAGCAATGCTAATTTAACTGTGCAAGAGATGTTGCTGTAATGAATCTCTGAAATTTACTTTTCAACAATAGTACATCTAATTTGGGAGAAGAAAAAAAAAGAACAGAAAGTGTCATAGATCATCCAAAATTTCAAATCTGAGTTCATGGAGGAGAGAGACATTTTTAGCCCTTTCACAGCTCAGAACAATTTCCTTGGATATGAATCTCTGGATACATTTGCAGGCATTGTTACTTCACTGCATGTATGGACTCGGCCTTATATTTAACTGATTCAAGCTGTGTCTGTTCCACTGCTTCAATTACTGCAGATTTTCTGTATATTATAGAGGCAATTCTGAATCAAGTCAGAGGAGATGTTTAAAAGCAGTTGTGTGAATGTCCTACTGAGTTTCTTAGTCCCAGCTTCTAATAGAAAAAAAATAACAGGGTCACTGACAGAACCAACTTTACAACTTTTCCAAAGCTTCCTGGAACACTACGGACTCTATCAGCTTTTTCAACTGAAGTATCTAACTATTTAAATCCAACCATTGCTAGCTGGTGATCTATCCATGAGAGACAGAAAGGCCCACAGAGAGTGAGAAAGGCCCACAGGAGTCCCCAAGCTTGGAATATCTCATGAAGCAGAACAAAAAGCTAAATTATGTGTGTGACCAAAAACATATGTTGCTCCTAACACCAACTGGGATATGCCCACAGTTGTCATAGCTACACTGAACTCCTGAGCCACACCTAACAGACTAATCCTGAAACTAAAATCAATCAACACCAAAGGCTTGGAATACCATTTCACAATTACTTCTGTCAATTCTGTTGGGAATTTCATTAGGTGGTGGTTGGTCAATCTATCCCTGATCCCCAAGCCTAAGTAGACATATTTAATAAGAGCCAACTATCTCACAATTATTCTGATAAGGGAGATATTATTCCTCTGGGTCATAGTTGTAACACCTGTCTACCCACAACTTCTTTACTATTTCACAAAAAAGTACTCAAACAATGTACAGGAAATTTTAAAAATTAAGCCTTTTCAACACAATAACAACAAAATCTTGTGCTCAGGCACCATACACTAGATAACTAAGATAATGTTTTCTTCATCTCTGATAACAAAAGATTTAATCTCTCATTTTTACACTAGATACAAGTCATAATCCATCAAATTCAATTCTACCTCTACCTCCACCTTTCCATTTAATAATAATAATAAAAATAAACCATCAAACAACAACATCTGCCTATCCCAGGTCCTTGGGAAGGACTTGATAGGTGGATAAAAATGCCAAATCTAGTCTAAACATTGGCTGACTGTGCAACCAACAATAGTAATTTATTAAATTTATATGCCACCTGACTCCCAGCAACTCAGGGCAGTTAACAATAGTTAAAACATTTAAAAAAACAAAGAAAAATACAGAAAACATAAAAACAGCACAAGACCAAAGGACAACCACGACAGAGGAGAACAGAAAGGAAGAAAGAGGCATCAATCGTCCTCTCCAAAAGTCTGGGCAAAGAGCCAGGTCTTTAAGGCCCTTCGAGATCCCAGTAAGGTGGGAGCCATTCCAATTTCAGGAACCTCATTTCAGAGGGCAGGTACTGCTACAGAGAAGGCATGCTTACAGGGTCCTGGTAGGTGCCATTGTTTAATTAATGGAACTCAGAGCACTCCAACCCTGCCAGATCAAACTGGTCAGGCAGATACCATGGGAGACAAGCGGTCCCTCAAGTAAACAGGCCCTATGTCATGTAGGGCTTTACAGGTAGTGACCAGTACCTTGAATCGCATTTGGAAGCCAACTGGCAACCAGTGCAGCTCACGAAGCAAAGGTGTTACATGGGCATATTGAGGCATGCCCATCACTGCCCGCACAGCTACATTCTGGACCACCTGAAGCTTCCAGGTGGTCTTCAAGGGCAGCCCCATGTAGAGCACGTTGCAGTAGACAAGCCGTGAGGTGACCAGGGCATTAGTGACTAATTGAAGGGCCCTCTGATCTAGCAAAGGGTGCAAGTTGCACACCAGATGAAGCTGGGAAAAAGTCTTCCTGGCCACGGCTGCCACCTGCTCACTGAGCAGGAGCTGTGAGTCCATGAAGATCCCCAAATTGCACACCATCCTTGAATGGAGAAGTGCAATCCCATCCAGGATCAAAGTTGGAATATCCCCAGATCTGGGTTGTCCAAACACCCACAGCCACTCGGTCTTGGTAGGATTGAGTTGGAGGCAGTTCCTCCCCATCCAAACCTGCACAGCCTCCAGGTACTGGGACAGAACCATGACAGCCTCACTTGGCTGGCCTGGAGTTGAAAAATATAATTGGGTATCATCAGGGCACTGATGATTCTGAACTCCAAACTGGCAGAGGACCTCACCTGGCAGTTTCATGTAGATGCTGAAAAGGAGGGGGAGAGAAGAGAATCCTGTGGCATCCCACAAGTGAGGGGCCTAGGGGACGAACTCTCTCCACCAACCAACCCTGACTGGAACCGGCCCTAGAGTAAGAGAAGCACCATAATATGGTACCCACAATCCATGGAGCTGGCTCAGAAGGATACCATGGACGATGGTATCAAAAGCCACCAAGCCATCAAGGAGCACAAGGATGGATGCACCACCACCATCCCAGCTCCACCACAGGTCATCAACAAGTGTGACCAAAGTTATCTGAGTACTAAATCCAGCCTGAAACCTGACTGAAACAGGTTTAGATAATCCATTTCCTCCAGGGTTCTCCTCAGCTGCAGACCGACCACTTTCCCAAAAATCTTCCCCAAGAAGGAAAGGTTGAAGACTGGTTGATACTTATTGAAAACTGTTGAGTCCAAACATGGCCTCTTGAGGAGGGGGTGCACCACCACCTCTTTCGAGGCTGGGGGCATCACCCCCTCCATCAAAGAGGTCAACACTCTGCAGGGACCCAACCACAGCTCATCTCCTTGGCCACTTTTACAACCCAGGAAGGACCCAAATCCAGTAAAATGGTGGCCAAACTAATAGCAGAAAGAGCCCTGTACACTTCCTCAAGAATCACTGGCCCAACCTCATCCCAGATCATACCACCAGACCATACCCCAGGCACCTCAGCCTGCTCTGCCCAATCAGAGTCCAAGACAGAGTGAATCTGAATGACTTTATCCACTAGATAGCCTAAATAATCTTCACAGTGGCTCCCTCAGCACCTCCCCCAGTTTACTCCCACTCCTCACATCCTCCTCCCAGGCCCAAGGACACATAATCAATCTCACCCGACCATTACACACAAAATTACACCCAAAGTCCTGGCAGCCCACCCCACCCAACCCACAGGGAACTCAACCACCCCTGGCTGCATCTGATGACACACTCACCAGTCTCACTGGAAATAAACCCCTGTGGGGGAAGAAAAAAAGAAAGAAGAAAGCACCTCAGTCCTGCTTACCTCTCCCACCCCAATAGTGGGGCAAATCACCCCCAAGTTA